AGTCTGAAATTGAATATTGTTGGAAAACTGTAAAAACATTTCTTTTCATGTTTATTTCTAACCTTACCTCCATTTTAATTTAATTTTTTAGGTTTTTTATTTTTTTATTTATAATAATAATAATAATGATGATGATAATAAAAAAATAGGAGTGGATAGGTTTGCCTATCACTCAGTTCCCACTCCTTCCCAGTCTTTTGAAGAGGAGTACAGGTTTATTCCTTGTTTCCTGTTTAGGATTGTGTGTCCAGTTACTTCTAAAGTTTTCTCATTTTCCTTTGCACCCAGTAACCCCTTACATTTTAGTGGAATTTCCACCTTTGCTTGGACTGAAATGATTACAAAATATATGAGGAAAGTTAAAAGGGTCAAAGTAAGAATAATGGGAAATTTATAATTTAAATTTTTTAAAATTAATATTTGTTAACATTATTACAGGAAGAATTTTGATAATTCTTTTATTAAGCTCTGGCAAATAATTAGAACTTTTACTGTTTTTGAAAAAAGTGCCTTTTTTTTTAAAATCGGTATCACCCCAAGCAAGGCAGTAAAGCCACTAAAACACAAGGAGTTACAGTGTGTAGAAGAATTAGGAGCAGAAACAATAATAATGTGTAGAAAGAAAAAGGGTAATCAGGAGGACAGTAGATAGCAATTGACATTGTATTTAAATTTTTGCAGATTAAATTTGGCTGGAGTTGGAAAGGAGTTCCACAAGTGAGATGTATGAGAATAGAAATTGTTAGCATGGAACTTACAGTTACATCTAGCCAGATCAACTGTAATTTGATGAGATCTCGACACCAGTCTAGTACTGTACTAGACTCTACTACTGCACTTAAATTCATGAAGTCTGGATATCATAGCAAAGAGCTCATCTGAACAATTACCATGAAGGTATTTATAAAAAAGGCACAAAGAGGTAACCTCATGGCAGCGGGTAAGTGACTGAAGCAGAGCTACCAGATCAGGACTAATAATATTGCTGATTCTTCTTTGGATCTTACCAAGGATTTCTAGGAAAATAGCAGGGGCACTGAACTATATATAGCAGCAATATCTAAATTAGTTTATATGGTCCTGTTTTTATATTTTTAGATGAAGCCTTTTCATTATTTTTATTATTTTATTCAAAACTTTATTTTTATTATATCTCTGTTACTTTTATTTATCAAAATGCTCTCAGTTGATAAGAAGCAACAATAATAATATGTAGTAAGACTAATAATAAAATAACAAATCATTGTATGTTGTTTGTTCAGATTAATTTCATAGACTTTTGATTGTTTGATTGACTATGTACCCTCTGGTCTTCCTCAGGAATCTTATGATTTGGAATGCTTTTGCCCCCCCCCAAAAAAAAAAACTAAGGAAAATTGAAGATACACAGCTGGAATATTGTGAAAAAAAAAAAAAAGAAAAGACAATTAACTCACCATAATTCTATGATGTAAATATGAAGATTATATTGTTTTCTTTTTTTTTTTATAATGTTCATCTAATACAAGGCCCTAGAGTCACTCAATGTAGAAACTGAGTAAATGAGGGGTGTGATATGAATTTAAGCAGAAGAAGTGAAGATTAAAAAGTTTGGTAGGAAAATAACAAGTGACCATAGTCTTGAAGAAGTTTATATTATTGGGTTGAGGGAAAACATCCAAGTGGCAGTTTGTTCTACAAAGTAACAGTTCTTGGGAAGAAGTGGAGCATCCTTCTTATGAATGAAATATGCAGGGAATGAGTGATTCAAGCCTGTCAATATAGCTAGGTGGGTCTGATTTTACAGTTTTAAGCTCATGGCACTAAAGAAATTTTGGTTTGATTTTTTTAATGGTATATCAACTCCTTTTGGGTCATTTAATGCCAAATTTTTCTTGTGAGCTTTGGTAAATTTTTTTTTCCAAAAATATATTGCTGCTTATATATTAAAGATGTATTGCTGCTAATTTTTTCTAATGCATTTTTATATTTTCATGTTTTGATCCCAGTTTGGGGAGGTCACTATTTGCCCATAGCTGGGATCCTAACAGGTGCTACCACTATAGGGTCAGGGTGGACCTGGGAACAATAACAATTAAGAAGTGGTTCCATGCTCCTCAAAAACTCCCAATTAGAGGCCTTGTTGCTGGATGTAGTTTATCATCTTACTTAGGACAACTAAATAATAGAACTCATGGAATTAGCAATAAAGTAGTAATAGGCTTGTGGATATTGCATTTGTGGGAAAAGGAATTGTAAGTTAGAAAATAAGGCTGTGTAAAGACTTTTGAACTTTTGTCAGAGCTGAAAAGTGAGACTTGGGCAGCTCTAGCACAGATATTTTTGGTCTGGTCTGACTCTTAAAGATAAGCATGGTAGAAGGAGACAGATAATTTCTGGAGTGGTACAAGGTAGCAATGTTTAATGGAAAAGTTTTACAAAATGGGTGCGATAAAAACAAATAAGAGAAATTTAAAATGAGCAAAAAATATCTCAGGACAAAAAAGAATATAGGAAACAAATGAAAATTAACGAGAGAAACTGGAATTTTAAGATTAATTTCTTTCAAAGTACTTTAGTCCTTTCCGAGATTAGAAGCTTTATATTCTTATCATAATTATATTGTATAACTACACTCCTAAAGGAAAAACTAGCACAAAAAACATCTTTCTCTGTTGGCTGCATCTAGAGAGATATGCCTCTCCGCAGCTTCCTTTCTTTTGTTGCTAACAGATACTTCAAAACAGAAAAATTACTTGATATAGTTAAAATACTAATAAAGATGTTAATTTTAAAGAAGCTCTAGTTTACATCTATTTTAACAAATTTTAAAAAATATCTGTGGAGAGCCATGATCGTCTACATCCTTTCAGATTCCTTTTCTTTTTATTATCTTTGAACTGACATAACTTTTTACGAGAGATAGTGGTGTGGTTTTCCACTGCCAGGGCCTCCAAGAGAAATTTTCCAAGATAGTACAAGACTCTTTTGAGGCCCTGGTGCAGGCAATGATTTTTCTCAAAATTGAGGATTTTATGTCCAGTAAATCTGCATGTAAACTCTTGTAAATGCTTTATTTCCATGATCAGATAGAGCACAATATACAAAACATTCAATTAATCCAGCAACATGAATCAGTATTTATGGTTACATTCACTAAATAAATGCCTTTTAGGTTTTGTCATAGAGAAATGCTTTTTAAACATTCATAATAATAAGATCTTGAACTCTCTAACAATTACAATACATAAAGTCCTTGCAAAACAAAAGTGGAGTAATAGATAACGGCTCGGATTGAGGAATCAGAGAGCCAAGTTCGAGTTCCAGTCAAATCTATTACATTCACTTACGTGCTGATACCCTTGGGAAAGGTATGAATCCTCCTCTTCTCCCCCCAGCTATGGGTAAATAGCAGGACAGACCAGGTTCTATAGCCTTGGATGGCAACTGGTCTACCACAGAAAGAAATGGCAACCTACTGCGGGAAAAAATCTGCCTCGTCAGTCATGTATTGAAAGATACATGATCGCCTAAGCATGTATCACGTATGGCACATAACTAACTGATGACACAAAAGTTCTGGTGTGTTAGTCACATTATGCCTCTTTACGCATCTACCCCAGGTTGTAAAAAGATACTCTTGGTGTTATCATATGTTTAAGCAACTAGGACTGCAATAATTAATAATAAATACTAATAAAAAGAAGTAAGTGTACTGTGATAAGTATAGTGATGTTTGAGTAGGTGAATGTCGGGCTGGGGGTAATAGAAAGTGTTTGTTCTCTAGGAGAGATGGGCGTTGATTGGTCACTGTGGGGTCTCTATCTTCGTTTTTTTAGTTCTTAGGCCCCACAACAAAGTACTGGCTGGATACCCCTTCTCATAGGCCATACACACTGGCATGGTTTGGAATTAAGAATTTTTTCTTCTGTTAAACTGGTCGCCACCCAAGTCTATAGAGTTGTATCTATCCTTCTATTTAACCTATAACTGGGGAGAGTGAATGCAACAGGCTAGTCCAGAATTTGAACTCTGCTCATTGATTCCATTTATCGTGCCATTAAGTGTTGCACCATTCACACATCCTTTAATAAGGTACAGACATATAACTATTGGATAAATAAATGAACAGATCTCAAATTAAAAAATGCTTTGTATAGGATTTAAAACTTTATAATCCACCTCATCTACCTCCACCCGCCAAAAAAAAAACAAACAAAAAAAAACAGAAGCTATACAATGTTTATTCAATAAACTGTTACATTTAATGTATAAAACAACTATTATGGAATAGAATTTTATATTTGGAATTTTCATGTTTTATAGTCGTTTTGTTCCATTAATTAGTTTGTGTGATTGGGCAATTGTTGTTATAAGTTTTGTATTTTTTAAACATTCAAACATCCATAAATACAACGAATAAATAAAAATCAAAATCCTACTAAACTTAAAAGGAAAATATTAGCCTGATATGCGATTTACAGGTCGGGGACACTAAAATCAAGCAGGTTCAGAAATTTAAATATCTGGGAAGTGTTCTGTAAGTGTGACGCTGAGATCTGAAGATGTATTGGGATGGCCAGAGATGCATTCTAAAAGCTAGGCAGAGTATTACTAGACAGGGGGATTACATTAGTAACAAAAAAAGAGTACTGAACTGCTACGTGATATCTGTCCTCCTTTATGGCAGCGGATGTTGGATGGTCTCAAAGACGAAGAGACTCGAGGCTATGGAGGTATAGTTCTACAGAAGGATGCTGAGGATATCATAGATCAAACATGTGAGAAACAATAAGGTTTTGAAGAGGATGCGAAGACGGAAGAAACGTATACTTAACATCAGGAAGAGGTAGCTGAAATTTCTGGGACACATAATGAGAAAAAGAGGCTTGGAGAATCTGATACTCACAGGGCAGATAGAGGGAAAGAGAGACAAGGAAAAGTAATGCATGGCATAGTTAGCGAGCTTAAGCAAGTGGATGGTAGAACAGGGTCTGGGAGAAGTAGCAGAAGGACAAAACTTACTGAGAACTACAAGGGATAGGTGGGAGTGGAGAGCCATCATCGCCTACTTCCTGAAGGGTCATGGCGCATAAAAGAAAAGAAGAAGAAACTGAGAAACCTGCCAAAAATAAAGATATCTAGATAAACTGGAAAGCATTCCCGAAACAATCATTAACAGACTTAAAAGAAGCTGTAGCTTTGTATGACAGTGGATATATAAGTGGCCAGCAGTTAAAAGATTCCAAGTAAATGGAATGTGCCTTGCTTGTGAAGAAAGACCCACTGTATATCATTTCAAGGGCAGCAGCAGGAGAAGCACAAACTCACTTCTAGATACTCTGCCTGGTTGAAAGGACACTGGTTTGAACATATGATGACCAAGTTCAATCCTTCTTTAACTCAGTTTTCTTCCTCTTCAAATCATCTTTCTAATTCTCTTCTTGTGTTTTCTCCTTAAATAAGATATATATTCTAAAATAAGACTTAAAGTACGTTTTAACTACAAAAATGGAACTTTTGGTGCACAAAGGAATATTTGTGCAGCTCTTTCAAAACACCATTTTTTTAAACAGTTTGTATTTGCTATTTGTGTTCTTTTATGAGATCCCTTTCTCGTTATTAAGATTAATTTCTTTCTCGTTATTAAGATTAATTTCTTTTTTTTTTAGAGAAAAACTTTTATTAAACAATAAAAGCTTTGCTCTAAAAAAAGTAATGGATTTTTTATTTATTAATCCAATATATTTTTACAAATTTAAATAAAGATTTTTCTGTTTTAAACCGATATTTGGGCTTGAGTTCTTGACAACTATATTGCAACGCAATTTGAAAACTCATAAAAAATGTTACTACACTATATAATCGCTATTTTAATCATTTTTGCAAATTTATTTGAAATGATTAAAATTGATAAAGAAAATATTTTATGATCAAAATTTACAATAATTTAAAAATTTAAACATACTTGGTTCATTTTGCCATCCAACTATGAAATGAAACTTCTTCAGAATCAAAGGCGTATGAAATTTTATGATGATAACCTGTGACTGTAGAAATTATTGACCATCTTTTTTGCCTTGTTATGTTACCTGAAACAGAATAAAGAAGAAAAAAAATCAGTTTAATATTCCTTAAAATGATTGAATATAATTATTGTCAGTATTGGCATTTTTATTTTTTATGTATTCAGTTATTCAGTCTACACAACATTTCTTTTTGTTGTGGCAAGAGCCAGTTACCTTCCTTAATATCATGAATGAACTGATCCATTCATGATAAGTAGTCCTGGATAATTGTCAAGGAGGAAGAACATAATGCTATTGCAGTGACTTGTTTAGCTGAGTATTGAATACTATTATCACCACTAAGGCATAAACTATACAAATGCCCAAGCAGTAAGGGTAGAACAGCTCTCTGCATACGAGATAAACAACTACGACTGGACTGATGAAATTTGAATGAAATTCTACTTCATAACATAAAGTGTATGAACTTTATATTAGATACATTATAAACATTTCAAATAAGTATGTTTAATATGCAAATTACAACCACAGAAAACTTACACGCACCTTTTATAACAACTTTGTATTTACAAAAATGTAAATAAATTAGTTTTAAATTTTACCACAGTTATTGAAAAGTTATTTACTATAGTATGACTATGATAAATCATTAACCTGGCAATAAAATGGTGACCTCGTAAAATGTAATTTTAAATGCAGCTTTTCTGATAAAAGGTGTTTTGTTCGAACAGAAAACAAGTCCCATACATTCTTTAGTGTTCTTACATTATCAACTACATTTGAATATAGAACTGTTGAATTTTCTGGATTACTTTTTATAATGATTTAAAAATGGATGATGAACATGTTGCACCTCCAAGAACCTAAAAGATATTTTCTCGTACACGGCTGGATGTAGCCAGAATTAAAGCATGACTTAACTTAGACATTTAGATGCTGTAACGTAAACAACACGCGTAGTTTCAGTAAAATAACAAAACTAGCACATCAGAATTAAGAATTCAAAATTTGGCCAATCAAACGGAAGATCGAGAATCAAAAAGTTGAGCCTGTCTCTACCGATATAAGCAGAGGAGAATTAGTATTTAGACAAATAGCGGTATAGCGACAGATGGAGAAGCAACCACATCGACGGACCAGAAACGACACATCTGCACGACACACTGGCGCCGCAAAATCAACTTTCTAGTTTCAGACGAGGAATTTGACACGAGAACTAACGCTTCACCGATAGATAATTGGATTTATTTGTAAGTACGAACCTCGCATATTAAAACCAAATATGCCCCAACAATTTAAACGTGTGATTTATGACCGATGCTTCCTACAACGAATTAATTCTTCTGACTCATCTTTTTTCTTTTCCACAATGCCAGTGTTCCGCCTAATAAATATTTGTTATTGCTTGTTCTATAAATCCATGTGTGTTTATTCGTGTTTCTGCAGTTAAAGGTGTTGCTACCTTAGGACCAACAAAACAAATCGTAACTACCCTCTACATATGCTCCAGTGTAACATCTTACGATTGAAGCCCCAGAATTTCTGTAGACAGCTTTGAATAGTTTTCCTCTGTTATTGTAGCTCTACCTGATGAAAATTCCGTTCCTAGTGCTAATTCGTCAAACATATGAGGAATAAATAGTAATTGTTTTTAAGCCTATAAAAAGAAATACTGGGCAGGCTTATGAAGACTATGGTAGCGAGAGACAAAAAGTTATCTGCCTTGGCCCAAAACAAAAAATAACAATAAAAATTAATTATAAATATTTACGAGAATAGAAACAGTCACGTGATCTGACGAGACTCGAACGAGACATCGTTAGACGGGAAAGTCAATTTACTTTTTGGTCTTTGAAGTTAGAATAACAAGATGTACAATTTCAGGCACGTAAGAACCAGACAGATAAATGTTCAATAATTCAGCGAAAAAACAGCATAGCATGATGAAAATAGGCTCCAAACTTAATAAAAACAAAGTTTAACTGTGAAAAAGTTTATGTTATTAATAAGAGTGGCTTTTAATTATTTTTTTTTTAAATTTGTTATTCCTTTCTAGCACGTTTGAAATTTTGGTTGAAAATCCTGATTTTTTTTTACGTCGGCGGTCGCGTAATATTTAGCATTAATTTTTTTAGCGCTTTTTTTCAGTTGAAAAACACATTAATTTGGAAATTCTTGCAAAAATCAAATAATTGTCGCATTTTAATGAAACTTTCATAATTTATTAAAAAATGAACGAAATTATTTTAGAAATGTTTGTTTTTAGAAAGTCATGGTAAAAATATTTTTTTTAGATATGTTACCGCCTCCTTACCTAATTTTATGAAAACTCGAATATATGCCTCTTTGTGCATCTTAAATGCAGAAGACTTTGAAGAATATAACTCATCGACTTTTTGTAAAACGAGGCATTTCTATCCAAATTTATCTCTGAATTGTAAAATACAAAACCCAATAAAACTAAAACATTATTTAATTTAAAAAAAGCTTTTAATGGCTTTTATAAATAATATATATTAAGGATATTTTTGTCAGAAGCCAAAATATTTTTTCGATGAAAAATGAGTTTTTACAAGAATTGTTTTCTTTTTGTCAATTTTAAATACAAAATTTGATAAAGTTGCTAAATATTTTAAAATTAAGTTTGAATATGTGTATCTCTGGAAATGCTCTTCTTAAAAGATCTATTTTTAAAGATATTAAATTTGAAAGCTTATTACAATCTGCGAAGCGTTTCTATTTTTACAATAATTTTTTAATATGCCAAAAAATGTATTAAAAACGTTTCCGGCAAAACTATGGAGGCACAATTCAGAAATAATGTCCCATGTTTTAAGAGTTGTTTCTTCTGATAGCGAGCATCCGGCCTTATACAATACGTTGATTTCGTGTCAAATTCTCTGACTGACCGACCATCATCGTCGCATTTTCAAAATTTTTAATTTCCGTTTTTTTTTTTTTTTTTTTTATTTTTTTTTACATATCCCAATAAATATTTTCATTTCATTTTTTAAATGTAATCAATTTTTTTTCTTTTTCAGTGAGAGACATACTGCAATTATTTTTTCTTTTCGAGATTCAATCTTAGGACGGAAACAGTGTGGACTCTGTTAAAAAATTCCTAAAAAATCAATAAAATATTAGACTTTTGAAAGTATTTAATTTTAAGAATTACTTTATAGTTAAATAAGCTAATTCACTTAAAATTCGAAAATACTGTCTCTTCTTCCCTTTGGTCCGATAAATTGCCCTGGCGTTAGTTGTCGATACATTGACGTAAACGCCAATTCACACCTCCAAAACCAATCACCACAGTTAGACATGCTTCTCTTATTTCCAACTAAATTTTTTTCTGATAAAAAATTAAGTAATGTTTGTTTCCAATTACATTAAGTATTTAAAATTTTAATTTTCCTAAAATAATTTTTGAAAAAAAGTATTTTACAAGATTTTTAAACGGAGAATTACACTTTTGTTTACAGAGTTGTCAAAAATGGCTAACCTGATCGATTTTATATAAATTTTGCTGACTAAAAAACAAGATTTTTAACTAAAATTTCAGACGTTCTAGAAAGGATTAAAAAACTTAAAAAATATTCAAAAAATACTTTGGTCTTTCCTCTTAATAATAACATAAATATTTAGACGATAAAAACTGTTTAATCAAATTTGGAGCCTTTTTTCACCAGGGTATGCCCTTTTTCAGCGAAATATTGAACATACCTAGATAACTACAAAATTTATATTGTTTTTGGTACGCAGTATTTTGCAAGTAGATATATGCAAATGTATTAAGAATTTCGAATATAAAAAATATATATATACAAGTGTTTTTATACGAAGACTTTTTTATGTTTTGTTTGAATTTTTCATGTATTTATGTTGGCGTATGTTTCATACAGCTTAAACTAGGTCTATGTTATATGTCTTCGCACAACACTATAATCAAAGAAGATTAAATTCATCGCATTGGCCTCAATCTACGACAATGGTATTGAGCTGGACTAAATTAGTGTAATTATTTTTCATTTCATCACTGTAATTAAATTTAAAAATAAATCATAAAACTTTGTTTTCTCTTTCCGAAATATTAGCTTCTAAAACTTTTATATATGCGGAAAAATAGAGATGAACGAAAAAACTTGGAGAATTGAGTTACTAAAACGAATTAGTTGAAACTGAGATATCCAGAAAAGGCATGGCACGTGGAACTAACATCATTCTACTCCATCATATAAATACATTTGAAATTCCAACGTATATCACCTGAAGAAGGCCAGAGCGTAAAACGGCCGAAACGTCGTGAATATGACAATAAAAATCAGAACAACAGTCCGAACGATTGTAAATAAAAAGAATTTGTATTTAAAATAGATTAAAGAAAAAACAAAATGTTAAGAGTAGAATAACTGATCTAAAAAAAATGTTATTTCTTGACAGAATCAAATCAAAATCAGAGAATCAATAATCTTTAAAACTGAACATCTAGTTCAAATGGCCATCCTCTTTCAAACAAAACCAAAATTTAACTGTTGACTAATTTAAAAGAAAAGTCATTTATATTAAATTATCTGAAATGCGTTTTTAAGTTTTCAAGTAATTCTGGTACCTAAGCTATATTAAATAAATAAAATATAAAATTTCACCCCTCTTAAAGTAAACTAGAATAGTAACAAACTTCGTATAAAAAATACTTATTTACTTACTACATGATTTGTATTAAATATATTAATTGAAATATGACATTTCCATTACGTTATACTTGTAGTAGTAGGCCAACTTTAATAGATAAAATAAAATAAACTATCACTAGTATAAACTATCACTAGTATAAACTATCACTTGTAAAATATCACCTACTTATCATTTTAACGCTTAACATTAACCGCGGCGTTCTTAAGGACTGGGCGGTCAGCTAACTTCCTGTCTGAAATCAGATACTTGGATCAGAAAAAAAACAACAAAAAAAAAACAAAAAAAACAAAAAAAACAAACAAACAACGACCCTGTGCCAAAGCGAAGGACAGTCCTATCGCATTCACCGCACGCACCGAACACTTACAGACCTCAATATAAATCCAGAAAAAGAAAACTTCGATGTCAGTTCTCTACCTTTTTGCTAGAAAGTGGGACAGGCTGATCCATTTCTCTAACCAACAAAGATCTAACCAGAACGACTGCCTGTTACAAAGAAGAAGAGGTTTCACTCACTCTTTTACAACGTACCGAGAGCTACGAATTCTATCGCACGAGAAAGACACAATTTGTATTCATAAGAAAAGTAAAACTTTTCTTATGAATACAAAACAATATCCGCTCAGCGCCCATTCAATATTTTGCATGTGAAAACCAACATCTTGCGCCAACCTCCACATATTAAATAAATTAATAAAAATATTATTAACAATTATTTTAATCGTAATCAACAAAATTAACGTATTTATGTGAGGATATAAAGATAATTTTTTAAATACCAGTTTAAAATGTATACATTATCTGTGTTGTTTTATGACATTTTTCTACTCTGTGGGTCGAAATTATGACTTTGTCCATTACTTGTCACCCATCACCATTTTCGTAAAGCCAAAATATTCAAATGTATCATTTACAATATAAATTTCGTATTAAAATCGTTATTTTTATCGTATTTCATTTTGTTATTTTCGTTTCTCTGTTTCAACTAATTCTCGAGTTTTTTTTTTATTAAAATGCTTTTTAAATAACAAAATTCACCTTTATTCACCGGTATACATGCATTCCTTCTTTCTTTCAAGCGCATGTCCAACAAATCGTTCTTTTTAAATGTGTGACCGCTAGGTCGTCTAAATAATTTGATCATGTTAGCACCAATGGAATAAGATCATTTATTCAAGAAGAATTAGGTTTAAATTCTGCAGAAGACTCCACCTTCCTAGCAATATCGATTGCAAGAAAGCTAAACGTTTTATATTCCAAGAAACTGTGTTCGAAAAACAAAAGAAATCATTACGACAATTTCTGCCTGGATTTATGGGATGACGAGTTATGATTATTTACACTATTTATATTTTGACTATTGTCCTCATCTTTGTTGTTGTTATCACAACGTTTCGATCGTGGTGGCTCCGGCCTTCATTAGGTGCATATCAATATGGGTTACCTATAGGGACGATATCCCTCGAAATGGGCAGTGGAGCAAGATAGATTAAATAAAGAATTCAGTTTAGAATTCTCTGTAATATATATTTCTCGATATGCACCTGAGAAAGACCGTCTCTCGACCGAAACGTTGTGATAACAACAGCGAAGATGAGAATAATAGTCTGAATATAAATAGTGTAAATAACGTCATCATTAGTTTGCGAAATGTGCTTAGCTGGATTCTAATATTCAAAGTGACTCTGTGACGTGTTACGTTAGTAAGACTCGAGGAGATGAAAGTATATTTGTCCACAAAAAGATAAATGGAAGAAAGCGTAAAAAGCAGAAAGATACAAGAAAGAAAGCATAAAAAGCAGAGAGAAGCAAGGAAGAAAGCATAAAAAGCAGAAAGATACAAGGAAGAAAGAATAAAAAGCAGAAAGATACAAGAAAGAAAGCATAAAATGCATAAAGATACAAGAAAGAAAGCATAAAAAGCAGAGAGAAGCAAGGAAGAAAGCATAAAAACAAGGAAGAAAGAATAAAAAGCAAAAGAAAGAAAGAAAGCATAAAATGCATAAAGATACAAGAAGAAAGATAAAAGGAAAGAAAAAGCATAAAAAAGCAGAAAGAAGCAAAAAAAAAGAAAGCATAAAAAAAAAGCATAAAAATAAAGAGGAAAGAAAGCATAAAAAGCTGAAAGCAAGAAAGAAAGGAAAAAGCAAAAGATAAAAAAAAGTAGAAAGAGGCATGGATGAAAGCAAAAAGATGCAAGGAAGAAAGCATAAAAATTAGAAAAATTCAAAGAAAGGAAGTATAAAAAGCAGAAAGATGCAAGGAAAAACGCATAAAAATAGAAAGATACAAGAACGAAAACAGAAAGAAGCAATGAAGAAAGCATAAAGAGTAGAAAGAAGCAAGGAAGAAAGCATAAAATGTAGAACAATACAAAGAATTTACATTTATAAAAGCAAGTTTTAGAAATTGGAAGAAAGTCATAGAAAAATTTAACAATTATCCAACATCCCAGTGTCACAAAACTGCTCTTCTTACTTTTGAAGCCATACTTTCACAATTTGATGAAACTGTTGAAATTATTACAAATTAAATAAATAAAATAATAGAGAAAAATTAAAGAAAAGCAGAGAAAATAATTGCCGTTTTTTTATGTTAATTCTGTAAACTTTACAATATCTAACGCGTCAATGTTCAGTCATGCGTCAAGATGACGATAAAAATCAAATTTCAAACTGAAATCGCGACTCTAATGTCACATCAAATTATTCGTAATTTAGTGGTCTAGAAAGAGTTAACTTTTTAATGTGTGACAAGTATACGATACGGATATTTTTAGATAGCAGCCAAGTGGATGCTTTTTTTTTTCGAAATAAAAGCAAAAAAGCTACCCTCTGTTTTTAGAAAGTTACCAAAGTTCAGAGAATTATCCTATTTAAGTGAAAGTTTCAGTACTTATTCATTAATAAATGAATTGTAATCTGAATAGGTTATTTTATTAGATAACTTTGGAGAAATGTTTTTTTTTTTTTTTTTTTTTTTTTAGTGGGGAGGTACAATTTCCCTCCATTCAAATGCATCGTGAATACTTTTAAAATCGGGTTGGGCGTAATGATAAATATATTTTATAGTTTTATAAAGAAAAATCCCGAAAGATACTATTTCATTAAAAAAACAAAAACAAACCCAAAACACTGTACAATGTAACCCGGATATAAGAGAGTTGTCGGGACCGGATAAGAAGTCTCTTATATCGGGTTTTCTCTTATATCCGGGTTTTCTCTTATATCCGGGTTTGGTCTATTTTATATTCATTAACACAGGCTCTAATTTGGGACCAGAGAAAATCTCTCTTATATCCGGGTTTCTCTTATATCCGGGTTTCTCTTATATCTGGGTCTCTTATATCAGGGTTACACTGTAATATAAAATCCGAAAATCTTGACAATTTGTCTTGAAGTCTTACAAAAATTATTCAATAAAACTTTAAAAAATATTTTTTGTCGAGATTCGGTATTTAGATAATTATTTTCTCTCAGATTTAACAGGGAAAAATCTACAGTGAATATTTATTTTCGAAAAAATTACGAATAATAATCAAAAAATCCTTTGGTCTTTAATAATATCATAACTATTTTGATGATAAAATTTTGTTTTTATTAAGTATGCGTCATTTTAATTTAAGTTTGTATGTTCCTTTTTAGCGAATCTTTGTGGGTACGTACACCCAAAGATGAAGGTCACAATTAAATTATTCGTGTTCTGGATCCAGAAGGAGCTAAGTTTTAATCTTTTTAATGCGTGGCAAGCATACCGACATATCTCATCCTGACATTTTGTCTACGCAGGGTAAATGATAATCTTGAGCAATCCGAAAATTTCCTCAATTTTTATCAAGTTCTAAACATCACGACGACGAGATATGAAATCAGTCTGGACATGCACCGAGGTTAATGTTACAAACGTGCTAGCAACATGCCGGGAAAAATCTTCCGGTGTTGTCGCACAGATCTTAATTATTCAGTCCAGAATTTATGACACTTACTTTTATGCACGTTCATTATCATTGTCAGTTAGAGAGAGAGAGAGAGAGAGAGAGAGAGAGGAGGGAGAGAGAGGCAGAGGCAAAAAGATAAAAATATTAAGAGGGTGTGTGGAAAATATTGTTTTGATCTAATATTCTAGCAGCAGAGAAAATCTAGACAGTTTAAACTAAAATGATATCAAGATGGCAACATTTATCAAGCTGACAGCAATTTAAAGACGCCAGAAACGTGATGGACAGTCCGAGCTATTTGTTTTAAAAGAATTATGAACAATTCCTTTTTTTAATCGGATTTAATTCAAGCAAGGTAGGAAAGCCACTAAAACACAAGAAGTCACTGTATGTGAAAGAATTAGAAAACAGAAACATTACTAAAAAGTGAGAACAATAAAAGAGTAACCAGAAAGACAGTAGATAACGACTGACATTGCATTTAAATCTTTGAAGATCAAAGTCAACTGGAAAACATGGAACCGAAAGTGAGTTCGACAAGCGAGAGAAGAAACAGTTAGCATAGAACTTACGGATACATCTAGCCAATTCAACTGTAAATTGATGAGACCTTATTGTCAATCTAGTACTGCGCTTAAATTCATAAAGTTTAGGTACCATAGTGAAGAGTCCACCCGAACAATTACCATGAAAGTATTTATTGAAAAGGCACAAAGAAGCAATTTCGCTGCGGTGGCAAAGTGAGTGAAGTTGAGACACCAGATCAGGACTAATAATATTGCTAATTCTTCTTTGGATTTTATAAAGAATCTCTAAATATATAGCAGGGACACCTGTCAATATGTGGTTGCAATATTTTAAGCATGGACAAATTGTAGACTTATAGATATGTATTTTACTAAAAAGAGGAAGGGTCGGATGGTTTGCTTGAGTTCTTAAAGACCGGAACAACAGATGAAGATTTCCAACTAGCAGGAATGCAAGAGGCAGCAAGGCATTTATTATACAGTTTAGAGAGAACTGAAGCCAGTTCGGGAGCATACGTCTTAAAGACTATTACAGTGGTACTACCAGGTCTATATGCTTTGTGAGGATCCATATTAGAGATAATATCAGAAACCGTGCATATATGCACTGGTAACATCCTAAATTTCCCGAAATCAGTTCTATAAAGGAAGGTAATCGTTTGGAACCTATTCTGCTTATTTTCTTTTTAGTCTGAGAATGGAAACAAACTACTTTATACTATCAAAAAGAATTAAACCATTTTGATAATCTAATCGAAAACATTTATTTATTAAGATATTTCTATTACACAGACGCCAGTAATTACGAGAGCCAAAGTTGTTAGATGCAAAACGGTGCCTCATTCTTTATGGCACATTGTTGGATTTTTGGAAACATTGTTTTCAAAAGGTTCAACTGAAAACCGATTTAAAAATCCGAATAATTGGAATAAAAAGCAAATGGAATACTTTGATCTATTGCGGGTGGAGATGGGTGAATATTACCCACTGTATTTATTCGCACACTGATAATCAATAAAGATAAATACAGTGCTGTTCGATAAAAGTGACTCACCTGATTTTTTTTTACTAAATGTTCTCTTCTCCGATGAAACGAAAGTCGAGCTAAATTCAAAGGATAAGCGATCTAAAATCCGAAGAAGAAGCTTTGAAAGCTCTTTGAATTTAGCAGTAAGTACTGTCAAGAATCCGTTCAGTACAACGTTCTGGGGATGCTTTTCTTTTCATGGAAATGGTTTCTTAAAACCTATTGAAAAGACCCTCAGGAGCGAGTAGTACAAGAGAATTTTAGAGTCTTGTCTGCTCCCTTCTGCCATTTTTATGCAGGATAATGCTCCCTGTCACAAATCAAAATTGATGCAGGAATACTTTGATAAGAAGCAAGTGAGTGTTATGACATGGCCGCCCCAATCTCCTGACCTCAACCCCATAGAAAACTTATGGGGCATTATAAAGTACAGTCTATCGAGAAAGCAGTTGAGCAACAAAGAGGATTTGATTGTGAATTTCATATCCGAATGAAATTCAATGCTTGGAGATGAGATTTGCCAGAACCTAATCAAGTCAATGCCAAAAAGGGTTGAAAAGTTTATTAAAAAAAAAAGGAGGACCCATAGATTATTAGATATTTCGAACTATATTACCTGTTATAAATAAATTAAACCTCTATTATTCTTTATTTAAAGCTGTTCGGTTATGTTTCTATTGATTACTAGTTGCAGGAAATAAGTGAGTCATTTTTTTTGCACACAGTTTTTCCCTAAATCTCATTTATATCCAAAATTATAATTATCAATAGAATACCTTAGGGTGAGCAAACTTTTTTACTAGGTGGTCGGGAAGGGGTCTTTATATTAGTAAGATTAAAAATTAGTTTGACTCCAAAAACAATAGGCGAAAAAATCTTTATGTAAAAAAAATCAGGTGAGTCACTTTTATCGAACAGCAATGTATATTAAAAAGCAAGAAAAAAAATGTCGGCATATAGCAGTAAGAGAATTAAAAGAAACTCATTCCAATCGAAATCAAATAAATACAGATATATTATCTGTTTATACTTTTGACTCTGTTCGTTTATTTTCAAAGTTACCGATAAATATTGTTATGAACATATGACCCTTTTCTACATGTCTTCCTTCATTTCTGAATGAATTAATAATAAACAAAATACACAAGGTTATGTTACGTCACAGTTGGTAAATACTCTACAGAATATACTTTTAATTGCTGTTGTTCCCAGATTCACCCTGACCCCGGGTTGTAGCACCCAAACTGGAGACAAAACATGAAAATATAAAAACACATTAGAAAAAATACCAGAAATACATGTTCATAGTAAAAGAATAAAAAAAATACGAGCAATACTTTTCTGGAAAAAAAAATACCAAACTTCACAAGAAAATAAAATTTCGGCATTAAATAACCCATAAAGTGTTGATATGCTGTTTAACAAGCAAACGAAACCAAACTTCTGAAGAATATATGCAGGAAATCATGTTCCTGTTTATTCTAAAACCAAACAAATTTCTGTAGGAAAATTAAAAGCAACACGCACAGGCAAAAATCAGAACTTCGAAATGTTTTCTTCTAAAAGTGAAATTGAATGGCGCATCCATTTTGTTTTAAATGACTGATACTATGGTGATTACTGTGTTCTGTATAGTATCACGTGAAGTGATCGAAATCCAATACTAAATATCAATTAATTTGCCTCTAAATTTACCAACAAACGTTTCTTTTCAAAAATAAACTTCAGCTTTTAAGACAGCAGTAACTGCACCTTTCATTCTGTTTGAATATAATCCTATGCCTTTTGTATTAAATAAATGCGACAGCAATATTTTATTGCTTTAACAAAACACT